CCTGGTTTTCTGTGAGCCGCCCTGAGTCCCCTCAGGGCAAAGCGCGGCCTACAAATGCTAATAAAACCTAAACCTAAACCATGTGGCAGTGCCAGAAATTGGAAGAGCTGGTCTTCCATTTTCCGGGATGAGCATGTGTGCCAGCCAGCTGATCGTTGCACGTGCATGTGGCAGTAACCGGAAGACTAGCTGGCTGGTATGCATGCATGTGCCGGAAACCAGAAGTTCATTGTTTGGCATGTGCATGGCGCCTGGGCAGCTCCTCTTCTGGGTTGCGGCCCTGACAAGCGTGCACTCCCTTTTCAACACTCAGTGCTGAAAAGGTTCGCCATCAGTGCATTAAGCATTTGGACAATCCAAATGTGTTTGTGCATCTCCAGGGGTTTTGGATGGCAATTAATATCATCTGTATCAGGTATAAGCTACAATAAATTACAGTACTAATTGAAAAATGTAATTTATACATGAAATAATATAAAACAAGTCCTAAACTGTGGACATGCAAAAATATTTATTGTGAATAACAAGGTCCAGCATGTGCCAAACTGTGGCTAATGGAATCATAGATAACTTCATCTATATTTATCTTTTTTTTAAAAGCTTGGACAAAAAGTTACAATTCTAAGAACATGCATTTGGGGCATTGCATTTATATTATGATTTTCGAAATCACTAAAACAAAACTCAAATTTTCTTTTCTTCAGATTCTTCAAATCTCTGTTAGAGACATATTAATGCAAAATCTGCTTGGCAAAAAGCAATTTATTCAATTTATTTAGCATTTTATAACTTAAAATAATAATGTATTATATTATTATTTATAATTATTATTATAAAGCTCTTGAAATGAGAAACTAGAAAATAAAAGCTTAACATTCTTGTTTTTCTTCCTGTAATTCAACATTGCTTTAATTCTATTATAAATGATTCAAATAACTTCTAAATAAAAACTGTTTAGGTATACTTCTACTAACCTGTTACACTAAAAGTAGACATTTATGGCAATTTAAGATTATCAAATTGATTGTAATGCAAGATTTTGTAATCTACAGCCAATGCATTTCTAAAATTTGCTTTTAAATATTCCATACAATTCTTCACCTAAAAAAGTAGGTTCCTGGGTGGTAGGCAAAAATGGTACAATAACATATAGCATAACACACACACACACACACACACACACACACACACAAACACAAACACACAAACACCCAACCAACTGAACTATATTAGAATAAAGAAAACAACAGTTAAGGTTCTTATCAATGAACAGTCAAATATTCCAGGTAAGCAGCAACTTGTTTCTGACAAGTTCAGAGGAAAGCTAAGCCATATGAGATACAACATGCTGAAGATCTATTAAACATTTTTTCCTCGAATGGGCCATCCATATACCAAGAAATTACACAAAATCAATATGCAAAATCAATAATATGTATTTTACCTCTTCAATTAATGTGTTGATTTCTGGTGCTGCTTTGTTTGCACGTTTTTTGAGCTGCTTTTTTGCTTTATCTACATCTTTTTCAACTCTTTTCCAGTCAATCTGTATGTAACCACTATGGCTAGCTATCTAGGAACATAAAAGAGTTTAAAGAATTTTAAGAATACAAGGAATAATATACCTGCATTGAGCAAAATAAAAGATCATCTGGATATAAATAGACTTATACTAAATAAACAAAATTATTCTCGCTTGTGAGCTGGCTGAGGGGCCTCAGGAAATGATGACAGTGTCAGTCAAGACAGAAGTCGGCCAAAAAAATCCCAATATATGCAAGAAATATCTCAGCCCATCCATAGAAAGTTCTATTCATTACATGCTCCACTTTCTCTACTTCCTCTGCAGGAGGGGAAATAGGGTGAGTGCAAAGATATCACTTTTTAGCCCAGTTTGATCCCCAAATTTGTACCAGCCACACTCAGTCATGTATATGAGATTGGCAGACTATAAGTTTATTAAGTAAACAGTCCGGAAGCTCCATGTAAGTCAAACAACTAAACAATAAGCTACAAAACCTTTTCCATCACAATATTCTTCTGCACCAATAGCAAATTGAACCGACATATGATGGCATGATTTCTGAACATGTGTAGTGGAATGTGTGGATGACCTTGGGGGATGAGGAAAAAAGATGCTGCCTTGGACAAGAGAGATTTAGGAGCCTGCAGTCACTTAATAGTCAGAAACTTAGGAAGGACCCACCTTCAGTTGGTTAAAAGTGGCAGCAGGAAGTCTGTACTTCAGACTTGCAAGATTCTGTTAATGTAGCCTTATGATAAAGTAGATTTAGCTCATTTAATTGTGCTTCCAATCTGGTTTATCTGGGAGGGCTGGGAACATGTGGATGTCACATCAGTAGTGGGTTCTGGATCCCGTTGCAACCGGTATGCTGCAACGGAGCTGGTGTCTACCATGTGCACGCACGCAGCCGTACCTGCTGCGTACCTGCTGCCCACAATGCTCCAGCTGCTCAGCGGAGAGTTGTGCAGGCACTGTACGCTCCATGTGCATGCGCAAATGCCTCAGTCTGCTCAATTAGAGGCAAGGAGAGTGGATGAGCCCTACGGAGCACCGTACCGTAACAGTACCTGTTTGTAACCCACCACTGTCAACATCTGATGCTGACATGATAAGGCAGAAACATCATTTTTAAAGATTTAAACTATATTTTTATGGCAGAAAATAAGTGCAATAGGGGATATTATTTTTGTAATTTCATATTACGTATCTCCCTAGACAAAATAACAGCATGTAACAGACCCTTAATCTGAAATAGGTTTGACCTCTATGGCAGATTGGGAATATGTAAAATGATTAACTTCTGTAAATCAGTTCATGTGATTTGTTGTTAATTATATGTTTATCTTTTTATTTTCTAATGTAAAAATAATAATAAACACTTCTGAAAAAGGGTTTACACAAACCCCCTTAAATATTTGTGTACCACCATTATTATTTTTACAAATAACTCAAAGCAGTGAACATATCTAATAGTCCTTCCTCCTCCTGTTTTCTCACAATAGCTATGTGAGATGGGTTGGGCTGAGAGAAAATGACTGACCTGAGGTCACCCAACTTGGCTTTCATGCCTAATGCGGAATTTGAACTCATGGCCATGAGTTCAAATCCCTCTTTTTAACCTATATCTCTAGGTTCCATTTCCTTTTCTATATGCAAAACACTTAACTGATATTTATTTGAATTCATATTTTCAGAATAACAACTACCTACTTGTAGCAAAAGAAAGCCACCACCTACTGCAGTTGCTGCAAGTTTTCCAACCTTCTGAAACAAAAATCCTGCACACCTTAAGAAAGAGAAATAAAATTCAATAAGTCTGTGTAGTCTTATTGTACACTTACTTTCAAATAAGCATTCATAAGACAATGGGCAATAAATATATGGTGTTATAGTTAAATGTGAAAAGTACAGAAAATATGCCAGAATGCTGACAATGCATACGAAGTAATGGCAGAGTTACACAAGAGATTAAGTCATGTTAAAATGCACACGCAACCTGCTGTTTTTTAAATATGATCATACAGCTTTCTGTAACAAGCAGATTAAGTGCAGGTAATCCTCAATTTACAGCCACAATTGAGCCCAAAATTTCTGTTGCTAAATGAGAAAGTTAAGTAAGTTTGCCACATTTTAAGACCCTTCTTGCCACAGTTGTTAAGTGAATCACTGAAATTAATGGTTGTTAAGTGAATCTGGCTTCCCCATTGACTTTGCTTGTCAGAAGGTCACAAAAGGTGACCATGTGACCACAGGACATTGCAACTGTCATAAATATGAGTCACTTGCCAAGCATCTGAATTTTGATCATGTGAGCATGTGAGCACAGGGATGCTGCAATGGTTGTAAGTGCCGAGGTGGCGCAGTGGTTAGGGTGCAGTACTGCAGGCCACTTCAGCTGACTATTATCTGCAGTTCAGCGGTTCAAATCTCACCGGCTCAAGGT